AATCTGGGACTCCTTTTCTACCTTTAAAGCTGCTGAACAATTTATTGACTCGGGCAATTGTTCACAGCTAGTTTTTTTCATAAAATCATTGTGGATCTATAAAACTTAAAATGTGGCCTTGTCGAAGAATATCTAGTGCACTCCCGATTTAAGTGTTGATAAGAAGCAACTCTAAAAATGTTATACTCTATTGAGCATTTTATGCATTAGTCAACGAGGTTTCAAATTTGTTATACAAATTTAAAAAAATGTATAATTATTAAAAGTATTGTCATTTGATGATTAACTAGACTACTGTTCTTATTATTGATGGAATACAAATTTTAAAAATATTGCACACGAATGTTTCAATTTCACACCTCAAACACGCAAATCCTTAAGTTGGCTCTTAATGAGACATAGATTTATTTTCATTGCACTCAAAAAGTGAGAAACTAAAATTCTTGGAACACCGATTTGTGTTTTAACACCTTGATACCTTAATGGGTGTGGCAATCGTGAAAATTTTCAAATTGTATGTGACAATATAAGCAAAGTTTCTTTGCGATAAAGTTGCTTCTTTTGCTATTTGCTTAATCTCTTGGTAGGTCTGGTCAAAAATTGAGATCCTCTCGGAAAAACCATTTCGAACCTGATGGATGCAAGTTTCCTACTTTATTCCACGGTACATAAAACGGTTAATCTCGATAGCATAGTAAAATTCATGGGAAAGCGTGCGAGAAAAGTTATTGATATTCCAAATTTTGGGAAAATAAAATCAATTAATTTGTTGAATGCAAACACCTGCGGAAAATAGTGTGATTCAAAAATCGATATTTTCCCAGATTAGGAGGATATTGCATTTTTCTCGAGTTAATGTAACGCGCAATTGATGAGTTTCAAAACGTTCCAGAAAAAGATCAATTATCCCTGAATTGTTTTTCGAAAGAAATAGGAGTTAGATAAACAAGAATTAATGCCATAATTCTATCTCTCGTGGTGCCGGTTTTGGTTACTATGGGAAGAAGTGCTTTGGGTACATTCGCATCTGCAATATGGTAATCTGATTTATGTTACCGCTGGGAAAATTGCAGGATAAAGGGGGGAGGGGGGTGCCTGGGGAATTGATGCTGAACTGAGTACAAGCTAATCACTTGGCAGTAGGAACAAGGCATTAACAACAGAAATTGTCCATATATTTAGTCTAATTTGTTCGCAAATATAAGGTAAAACGTACTTCTTGTTCTCTGAATTTAAACACTGTTAAGTCCTATGATAGGTAATGTCTCTGTTATTGATGATAAGTAGCTAATTAGACATTCATCCAGTAGTAAGATTAAAGGAAACCATTGAGTCGAACTTATAACTAGTTGAATAACGCTGAGTCAGTTTTGTCTACCTTATCACAAAATCCAATTATTTATACGTTAAGAGGATATAAACATTTATAAATATAGCTCATATGCTTAAGTGTTAAAGTATGAAGAATGAATGAAAGAAGATCCGAAGGCATGTTAAGTTTTGTAACTATTATCCAATCATATTCAGATCTAGGCTTCAGGTGAAGAGAAGCTATTAAGGTCTTTGGACCAATTAGGTAACTCAACAATAGAAAATCCCATTACACTAATTTTGTTTTCTCCACCTCTTAAAAAATCCACTATTTAAATCTGCATATCCCCCCTGTCCAAGCCGCTTCTCTAACACGATCCTTTGATCAAATGAGCAATCCTTTTAATGTCTCATTCTTGATATCTTTATTTTTCAATATTAATGGATCTACTATACCATTCACTTTTTTCAAATGCGAATAAAATTTCATTTCGTAATGTAATTTATATTTATAAATTCGTAAATAGTTTGTCACTGGTGATGATCTCTTCATACAATAAAACCGCCTTCGAATGACCTATATATGGCACCATTAGTAACTTAAATTTTGAAAGATAGGGGGATTTTTTATTGTATTATTCTCTTAGTACTTTTGATCTAATAAGATGCTTCAATATGTTCTCAACAGACCCTACTCCTTGCATTATCTTTCAAAGAACTAATTCTTTTAGCGTTTATATGACCTAATTTTCATAAATCAGTACCAGATGATGCAATTTATAAAATTGTATCAATCAAATTGCTACCCGCAATTTGTTCGTTTCCACATTCCCTCCCCCTCCCCCCCACCCTCGTCTGCATCATCTGACTTTTCTTTCCAGTTCCACCCCCCTTGACACCAAAGTATGGTGATATTACAAGGCACTAAAATTATGGCCTTCAAAAAATCCCCGTTTCCAACTGTAAAATGAGGCCAAATGAAGTGATTGCAAAATAATAAGAAAAGCGCAACCAATCTTCAAATCAGGTAAATTACTTCTAGTGTAAAGTTAAAATTGCCCTTTCGCAAACGAACGACCCATCATCGCTTTCAATTGAGAACTGTTCCACCCTTGAAATGCAGTCAAAATTTGATTAGTTATAGAAAATTAAAGTAGATTCAGTTAAATCTCGGCAATTCTATTATTGTTTTGAGCTAGGCATATTGCTGGTGATCACCTCTCTCTCTCCCTCTCTCCTGTGGTAAGCATTCAGTCTTCTAAGCTTTTGGAGAAAATGATTTGTGGTTATGAGATCAAACGTTATGACTTGGAAAAAGTCAACGGGCACCAGAATTAGCTTTATTCAAATGGCTCATGAATTCCAAGACCAAATGAAATATGGCTTGTTGGTGAGGTAACGTTACTCTCAACATCTTTTTGATCCTCTCCCATTTTTCTTCTGATTGACTTCCCGTTAATCATAATTATCATTTAGTAATTTGATGATACGGTGAATTAGTGTAATTGTAATTGTCATCTTTGTTATTTTGCATTTGTGAAAGTATTTCTCAAGCAAATCAACAGTATTCGAAAGCCATGTGGGCTTTTTGCATTTGTCATTCACCATTACCGATCCCTTAAGGTGACGAATGAGGTATAATTTAGCTCGAGCTTGATTGCCCTGACCACTGCATATTGGACACTTAGTCTTGGCCCCACATTTGATTTATCTAGTGATCAAGTTCAAAAGATTTCTAGACCTATTACTGATTTCGTGTGATTGGCTAGAAGATAGGGCTTGAAAAATCTTTTAGACTGAGTGAGATTGGTTGCCTTTACGAAAATGTGAGTACGTCCACTGCGACAGGAGGTGAGTAAGAAAACTTGACAATCGGAGGAACTTACATAATTTTTTTCAACTTCTTTGTCTGAATCTTTGATTAAAATATTTCCATTGTGCATGTTAAATTTAATGATTGCTGGCCTATATGTTAGGAACCTAGATCTTCATTCTACTTAGTGTCCGAAAGATTATTTATTTAATAATTTCATTTAGATCATTAAGTAATTAAAATTACTTCCCTAGAAAATACGCTAGTACTTCGGTTAATTGGTTATTCTACTCATTGTCCTGCATGTCTAAATCCAATCCACCTGGATTGTAGTATTCTTTTACATGGACAATATCTCAAATGCTTAAACATCAGATCACGCGTTGCTAAATTCTCTTCAAATGGTTCATTCAAGATGAAGTGGAACGTATCTCCACCCTGAAAAGTTAGCCAATAACTGAGAATTTCAGACCATCACTCTCAAGATAATTCACCTTCATACGTAGGCATTCGTGCAAAAAAACCACTGGAGGGAGGTGTTTGATAAATGTGAGATTATGAATACATTTACGTAAACGGCGTTGAATGCCACTTAAATTTCGAATGTATTAGTTTTGGACTTCCTTCTTTATGCTTATTATTCACTATACTACTTTGTGCTTTAAGTTTAACTTTCATAATTTATCACCTTAGTTCATGAGAATGAGTTCATGCTCGCGATATTCAAAGCTTCAAGACCAATTAATTCAACTGAGAAATAACATTTCAATAATATTGCGGTTTTTTGATAGCAGTTATTCGTTTGCTCGAGAGAACCTAATAGCGTTTGAATAATGTTAAGAATTGAACGACTCATTGGTTATTTGTCTAATTTTCTTATTGAAGTTGTTAGAGATAGTTAATGGAAGAGGTTATGTGGAAGTTCTTAGTATTTTAAAGAAATAAATTCCAACCATTTAGTAAATCCCTATTTTGAGATTGTTGTTATATCTTTAAATTATTTCATTTTTCTGTTGATGTCACGATTAGAAGGAAGCAATATCACACAAAATATGCTTAAATAAACGATATTCAAGGAGTTTTCGGAAATTATTTTCAAATAAATTATCAAGCCTCATAATGCTTTAAGTATTTTTGGGTGAAGAAAACTTCAACTATTAGTATTTTAAATAATGATCACAAATGACGTAGCTTTTTCCAAGACGGACTAGCAGGCTATTGTAATTATTTTAAACGCTTAGATTACCAAACTGGAATAAAACTGTCTAAAGATGCATTTTTCAAAAATCCGCTCAAATTCTCTTTTGGGTGGATACATGATCGAATGTGTTCCTTAAGAATCCACTTAAACGGATCCTTATAATTATGTTCGAAAACGACTCAATTTCAAAGTACTTTGTGGATAATTACAAGGTAGAAACGCAAAAAGTTTCTTGTTTAGTTCCAAAAAATCATTGAAGTGTCAAGTTATTTTATGATTCATAAATACGCTCTCCCACCATTTCCATAAAAAGTTTCTTTTAAGTATTTTTAAAACACGAGCAGAAATAAAAATAACGAAGAGACATAAAGACGACTGCCTTACGATTTTTGTGAAATCAAAACCAATGAAATAGCCACTCGGTGTCTCGCCAACTCCTTGACCAATAGTGTGCATCCTCGCGATAGATTGGCCATCCCAGTAGACCAATCACACAACGAGTGATACATGCACGTGCAAGGCCGTCTTATAACATTGAGGGCAAGCTATTTTTCATAAAGAAAAAAACGCATCAGGAATGGTAACTCGGGCTTCTCAAGGATCATTATAGAAGCACTCTTGGAATACTACTTTTCCAACTAACTTTTCTTTCGATTCGTCTTCATCAACCTCAAAATGATGGCAATCTCGCCCCTACAAATTCTTGGATTTCTTCTCATTCTTGTATCAACGGCAAGGTCTGAACTAGATTCGGATGCTGAAAGTCGAGCTTTCATGCGCGCACAGTGCAAGGCAATGTGTTTAAAGCTATTTCAATCTCCTGATAATGCTGTTATCAGCAAAGTTAGTTCCCAATTTCTTACCATTAATGTTTGATTACAGTATTCGAAAGCAAATATTCTTTATGCGATTTCTTCATATCTAAATGCCTAATGGTTCGTTGGAAGATTTGTGTGGTTCTCTTAGAGTTATAGAGTTAGTTGGAAATGAGACGCTAAATTTTAGATGTGAGATATAGCACCTTAGGGAGCTTTGGCTTAAAGTACATTTTAATGAACTCCGCAAATTTATGATTTGAGATTTTGCCCAAGTCAATCCATGAAGAAAGGAATTCTTTACATAAATAACTGAGGTTAATAACCAGATAAGGGTGAATTGATGATTCATTGCTCAATTTGTGCCGACTATGAGGCCCAGCATTTGCATTTGACTTTCACAGTTTATTGATCGAAAAGATAATGCCTTTTTGGTGTTTTACCCTATTCATGTTTCGCGACCGACACAAACTATAAAGGAAACAAATTCAAGAATTTGATTTCCGAACTTTCGTATATGTTTGCTAAATAGCCTCACAATTTAATTACTTACTAACGTAAACTAATGGAAGTTTTTTTGAAGTTCCTGGTCATATATTTGTTATTAGTTGCAATTGATGTCTTATAAGAAGAACAGTTAATAAAATATGAGTTCACATTCTGTTTATTCATAATCCACAACAGACAATGTAGGGTTATCTTTGCCAAGTACGGTGAAAGTACTAAAGTTGGTAGGCTTCGAAAAAAACGTAAAGATTCTAACGGATGTGCTTTTTGTTTAACATTGAAATGCAAAATTGGCTAGCACTCTTTTCGTGTCGCAAAGTCTCTGAATGAAGTTAGATACATACGCAGTAATTGCTTATTCAACAGCTCTGAATAACGTATTGTCTTCCAGTTAGTATGTTTTCGTTTGCTCCCTGTTTGCTCATGTATTCAAAATTTATTCGCCACCTCTCCCTCTCTTCCCCCCCCCCCCTCCCTCCCCAAATGGTCTAAGACTCTCTTGCCTAGGTAACAAGATGCACCTTCTGTTTAAATCTTGGCGTCTCTGTTTCGTTCTTACTGTGAACAGGGATCCCATCTCATGTTATTTATTTTTATTGTCTTCCCTTATCTATGAATTGTTTTGGCTCTGATATCTTTTATTTCCCATTGGAAAAAACTTACCGGCTTTAGATTCTCAGAAGGGATTTGAGCACCGCAATGTCTATTAATACCTGGCTCCTCACTTCACCTGTTTCTTCCAAAATAACCCAGTGATAATGAAATCTTTGGAGTTTCTTCCATGACCCTGAGAGTATTGTAGTGTGCGCTTCTGAGTAGATGTGTTGAGTAGCCCTCAGCATCTGAATGAATAGATAATTGTCAGCCTAAATGACCAGATACTGGCATTTCTTGAGGCGTTAGCTTTTGAGTTCGATACCATTTCCGGAGTAATTGAACTGGATGGTTTTACCTTAGAAATCACAAAATCAAAATTTTGCCTCTTAATTTTCCTAGTATTGCACAATAAAATGTGCTTGTAGCTACTGTCACTTAAACAGGGATTGCATAATTATTTTCACTGGGAAAGTTGTCCTAAATGTCATCTCTTTGCATTTCTCCGGTCTGTTTTAAACGGCGTCGTTGATTCTATTATAGAAGGTATGAAAAAGAGCACACTTTCATTGTCATTTGTAAACAAAGCAAAACTTCATCATATATTCTTACTATCTAGCATTTTATATTTCATTCACTATAATCATTGCATCTTTAGTCGGCAAATTGTTATTGTGGAATTAGGATTTTTTTTCTCTAACCCGACAAAGGTTGTGATTGAATTTATGTTTCCATTTGCAAGTTTCGTCGTAGTTAGTGGCTTTTCTCTCGATGTCTAATTACGGGTTTACTTTACTATTCTCTGACAGAATTCGAAACTGAAGAGTTTTGTTTGGGCATAAAACATGGTTCCTAAACGTTCTAACTTCTATAACAGTTCATTGACTTCAGCAAATTGGAGAAATAGTGATAATAGAGTCTAGTCATCTGTTCATCCAACCCCTCGTCCCCACCTCCACATGAACTTCTGTGCTTCTCTATTTTTCGGTAAATAAGACTCAATTCTCGCCTGCCTTAACGACATATTTCTGTTTAAACTCAAAGCTTAACATTTGGGGTTTCGTGCCTGAGATTTCTTTGATAAGTTTGGGGAAGCTTTTCAAAAGTTTTTTTTTAAATCTCAGACGTTAAATATTAGAATATGCAGAGCTAGTGAATTCGTGTTGTTAATTCAATCTCTCCTGGGGGGAGAAATTTGTATTGATGAAAACAAGAGGCAAGAAGAGTGAGAGATTAGAGACGCACTGCCGTCTGCTAATTTATGCCCGCTGAATCGGCGGCAATGATAGCCTAATCTCTTACCGAGTGTCCCGATGACGTTACCGACAAATAACAGCTGAAATTCTCGCCACGGCGACAATAACAAAAACAAAATTAACATCTCAATTACTTCTCAATGAGTTCCTCTGACTGGGAGTTCGTCACGCAAGAAATAGGAGAAAAAATGCCCCCCCCTCTCTCCACCCCCTCCCCNCCCCCCCCCCCCCCCCCCCCAAATTTTAACACTTTTGTCCCAACTCGCCCATTCAATAAGACTATTCTCTTTGAAGATTTGAGTTTTAAAGAGCAAAAAAGAACATTGCTCCATAATGTGACTAATTTGGGAAATTTTTAACTATAAGGGAAGCGTTTTGTGGATCGATGGAGTCAAAATGGAACACAAGCTCTCCCTTTTTTCTGCCTGAGGGTTTATCTTTTCTCTCTCATCTCCTCCTGCCACCACCACCACCACCACCCAGAGGAGGAGAAAAAAGAATCGAGTACTTTTTATTAGGCCAGAGAATTCTCAGGATTTATTCTCCTTTTCCCTCAAAGAAAAATGACTCCGTTTTTTTAGTGTCTTTAAATAGGGATTTATTTATTCAGCTGAGGCAAATGAGCACAATTATTTACGGTTTTCATGGGTGGGTGAACACTCGTTGAGGTAAGAAAGATTACCTCACTGGATGGTTGGCTTTCGAGCCCTTCACTCTATAACATTTCGCTTATTCCTTCGATATGCGGGCTACTTTCCCTCCTGAAAAGAGTCACCGACAGATTTATGTCTTCAGATTTGCCGATAATCCCTAACACAATGTATTTTAATCAAGACCAAAATGCGCATAAATGCTTGCAAACAGTGCAGCGTTTTGGAGGCGAATGTTGTTAATTTAGCCCTATTTATGAATCAATTAGCATATTTGTGAGATCAGAATAAGATCTAATAAGCTAAGCTAATTAATTAATTGCTTATTGTTGTTTGAAGTTACGGTGTTTTGCAAAGTGACTTCCTCTTTATCATCCCCACACCTTCTCCATTTGCTCACTATTTTTGCCTTCAATTAGATGAACAGGTAGTAGTTGCGCAGAAGAGGTCATTGTAGATTCTACATCCTTTCTCAGATTTTCAATTCACTTCAATTCCAAGTTTGTTGCAAAGCTAAAAGTTAAGCCAATTTCCCATTATTTCAATAAATCTTCGATAATATCAACGACATATGGTCTGGCTGTTGTATTGACAACTATAGTGCTGCCAGATGCTGCCAAAGATTAGAATGCGCGTTCCTTTTGTGTGGTTTGAGCTTTTCGACATCGCGTGTCATCCAGCGTATAAACCGCATTGACGCCAAATTGTGTCATTTTTTGGGTCGAGTATTCGCTTGTCACTATTCCCCCCCCCATCCAGATTCGAATGAATAAGTCATCGAGCAATCCTGTGCCCCCTTTATTTTCGTCTTTCACTCCCCTTATGAGTAATTGTTTGACAAGTGAATAACCCCGCAAAAAATGACAACAGCATCTATCATTACTCCCCCCCCACCACCTCCCCACTCTCCATCTTGACTAATTTCCTATCAGGCGGGATGAAGACTTTAGACAAGAAGCACTAAGTAGACGTTAAATGTCAAATGGAGTTCTCTTCGCTCAATCATATCAGTCTCTGTCCTCCACTTACTACCATATGTTTGATAGCCGCTGTTTTCCACCAGATTGTCTTCCCTCGGTATGAAGTAATTTAATTTTCGTTTCCAAGCCCATGGGAGAGGCGTTCATACACCCTAAGGTGTTGGATATCTCTATCACTCGTCCAGTGAGTTGACTCGCAGTAACATGGCTGTGCCTTTGTGCGTGAGCATGTCTTTGTTTCGGTTACACAGGCCAATTCGACCCCATTATCAGCCAAACAGCCGCATAATTTCATAGCGCTTCGAGTAATTTGGGGGCGGTAAATTTAAAACATTTTTTCGCAGAGAGTGAGATATGGTAGAAAAAACAAATCTTGATTTCACGATGTTTTAATAACGGGACACCTGCAGCGCTCTTTGCCTACCTAATTACGCCGTGACTAATTGATAAACCGGTTAATTATTTCCCAATTCATCCTTGTCCTTAAATCAGGTTAGAGTCTCCGTTACACCAAAATTTAAGTATTCCAATTGGTCCAATAGACCAAAATTATTAGTACATGTTCGTGCTAATTTTACACCTTGGATGGACCACCTTTCAATATTATATTTATTGGGAGAGGAAGGAGGAAAGGGGGTTGGTCTTGATGAGTTCAGTCCTGATAATTGAGGACCTCAAGCAGTTCTAGATTCCATTTTGTCCTCAGGACCTTTCCGTTCTAGAGCCTTTAAGAATGCCGAATTCATTTGAAGATTGACTATTGACTATCAGGTTCGGTGGGTGTTTTAGGGCAAGATTGTTTGCTTTCACCTTTACTTTCCAAATCACTTTACTCACAAACTAGCTTGAACTCCAAAAAAAAACAGGAAAAGGGAAAATAACTGGAATTGCACAATGGGTTCAATATGCCTATTGTTTGAAACTACAAGGTGCCTTCCCACTCTTCAAAATACGTCACACGAGATCGCTTCTGTCCGCGTGAGCTTTTGAAATGTTTTGGCATGGCAGCTATCAATTCAAAGGTCAAATTCATATCAATGTCCTATAAAAAAGGGTACGAGGAAGTGTTGGTTGCTAAGTCATGGGCAATAACGTCTGCTGTTCTTTCCACGTAGGCAACAGAGAGTGCGGGGAAATGGAAATTTTGTTCCTCTAAATGTCTACCAGAAGGAGGTTGCAGTTACTGTAAAATTTAAGCAAATGAGAGTGGTGTAGGAGGGGGGGGGGTAGGAAAGGGGGAGAAAAGTGGAGAACCTAACTCCCCTTTAACCTGGATGTTTCGTCTTCTCTCTCCCAATTTTCCAGCATCTCCGGCGCATCAAGCTGAGGTGTGAGGTCACGATAGGTAGCTGCATTTTTCCCAGCTAGGTTATATGTGTAGCACAGTGTACACTTAAAAGAGTCACCTTTTGGGACAGGCACTCACCGAATTTGGATAGTAAAGAAATTTTGGTAGATAAAATAAAAATTTACCACGACTTCATGACATCGTCCGCTTTGGCCAATTGAAAGTAGAAAAACTGATGCGATCTTGATATGTGCTCAGCTTCGCTGTTTTTAATGTCGCGTTTATCGGCATGCTTGTTAGTCGGTATTCGAGATAACTTATCATCACAAACTTTGTTTTACATTAGAGAAATATTTCTGTGATATAATAAAACATTGCGGTGTGCAAAACACCGACAAATCGGCATTTTCAGTACGTGCTGAGCTTGATTCTGAGGAAATTTGATTACGGTTTGATCAGAGGCACTTCAAGATTTCGTTCCTAGGTGAGGGACGAGAATTGGAGAGCACCTCCAAACCAGTGAAAACTATGTAGATTTAGCAACGCTACTGCGGAAATTTGTTGTTTCAAAAGCTCAAAACGTGAAAATTAACACTTGCTAAAGAAACCGTAAATTAGCCAATCGGTAAATTTTGAGTTATTCTATATTTTTCTATTGCAGATTGTAAATCGACTTGGGGTTCCAAATGACTTAGCACCCGACTGCTTCCAAAATAAGAATAACACTTGCAGTAGTAATGTAAGTTTCCCTTCATACATGATTTAAGGCGAAATAGGCCCATTGAGATTATTGAAACCTTTCTTTTCAGTGTTTCTTCGCCTGCGATAAACCACCAAGTCTTTGTCATTCAACTTGTTCGGTAAGTTACCCGAAATTTCTTTTTTATCACGACCTGTCTATGGCGAAGAGCTGACATGATCAATTAAACGCATGACTTTCAGTTGACCAATTAGGTTGAGACATGGTCGATGTTTGTGACAGGGGAAAAATCACTGATAATTCTCGTTTCCAATTTGAGAAACACGCAAATCCTCCTTCGACACTTAAATTCAGTTTGGTTATTTGGGTCACTTGAAATTCTATATTTCTGGAGGTCAAATATAACCCCTGATATTCAAAAGAATTCAAAGATTCAACTGCAATTGATTCAAAGTAGCCTAGTTAAGATAAGTGTTTCCTTTTTGAAAAAAATATGGCAAAATGGAGGGATTTTTAGTAGTATTTATTACCCGCTAGGAGGTAAGAAATACAGACGTCAATCACCACAGAACTCGCTATGGCTTTGCCGTAAGCCACAATTTGTCCTTCTCCTCATCCTCACATAACGCATATGTACTCAGTTTAGTCATACTTCCCCCATTACCCCTCAACTCGTCTAACATAAACCCCCCCCCCTCCCAAATCCGCCATGCCTGCGAGTAGATGCTATCACCTCTTTGTAGCTGCTTGCTGTGACTGACTCAACTACTGCCAACTCCAATACTCTCCCCCCCCCTTCTCTTCTAATCTCCCCTTCACCTCATCTCATCTCAGGCGATTCCAGTGAGAGATTTCATAAAGTTGGTTTAGTGAAAAACAGCGTGGTTTATAAGTCAATTCACAAAGGTCGTAGCAGGGGTTTGAGTTATCTGCAGGCTTGTTGACTCATGGACCGTGGTTTTTTGGAAGAATAACCAAGATATCAGTGAGGCAAATAAAGTCTCCCCACAATAAGAACAAAGAAATGTCGAGCGAGACTGCTTCTACCTTCCATATCATAAGGTTTCACTTGAATTTGCTGGCTTGTTGTGCCAATGAAGTAATAAAACAATCTATGCGAAGGAGTAGGACATCGAAAGTCAACAGCAACTTCGCTGATTTGACTAACCCTTTAGCGCCTTAAGACCGTACGACCCTCATTTAAAATAAGCTCCATTGGTAATAGACTCGTAACAGAAGGCACTATTGCCATTTGAAACAGTAGATCAAATGGCTGGCTTTATGATAGGCATCATTATCCCTTTAATTGACTCCTGGCTTTACAGTGGGTGGGTGGGTGGGGGAGCATCAAAGTCACAGAAGTCGAGAGGGAGAACAGATGAGTGATTAAGAGATGTAAAAGAGACAGACAGACACTAAGGTAGTGAAAAGGTAAGGTAAGTACTGTGAAATTGGCGGAATATGACATACAGTTAGGGGATGGTAATTTGAAGTCAGAAGTCAACCGCTAGTTTATAGACCTTTTTGCCTTATGAGTACACGTTGCCCAGAGGGCACCACGTGGAGGTACATCTATCGCGCACCCCCGTTTGAAGCATGTTCAATGTGTCTATGGCTTTCTTTTGATACCACCAGAAATCATCGCGTCGGCTGCATCAGTGGGACACGCGTGAGTGCCGTTGGGTGCATTTTTCCGGAAAATAATTCGAGCGTTAAAGGGTTAATAGATGTTCAACTTAAAAACCGCATAATTTTTTTGTCGAATATGAGATATTTATTCATTTATAGAATTTGTTTATCGTTTCAATAATGTCACCTGCTAGGTTTATCAATTATACAGCGACTTTTCGACAGATTTACCGCTGCAAATACCAGATCTAACTAGATGAAGGTACTAAATTGGGTTCAAGGCATTCGGAATTCGAGAATATCATTTTGCCTGCTTCAGAATTACCTAAGAGTGAATGTTGGATAAGTATATTCAATAATGAAAGTTGAGTTGAGGTGGAGCTCTAATATGATTTTTTTAAAAAAAAAACAAAATGCCAACTCCTTTCCTGTCTCCTAATTGGTTGACCTCTAGGGAAAGGGGGGGGAGAGAGAGAGAGAAAGAGACGACACCAGTGTGTACGTTGTTGGTGTTCCTGATTTGGGTCGATCTATGGGAGCCTTTGTGGGCGACTAGTTATGTGACTCAAATGCAATAAATTTACTTGACACAATCCACCCCACCCAATCAGTCCCTTTTTCAGTCTTCCTGTAAAGGCGGAAAAGTGGAGAGGACGTGGAAAACTTTAAACAATGTCGAGGAACCTATTCGTGAACATCCTACCCCCCCCCTTCCCACCCCGGCTTTCTCACGGTTTCATTCCTTGATTTGACTGCTTTGGTGCCTTGGCTAGACGGGTCTAGATTTTCTCTACATCATTGTTTTGAGAAAAATTGTCAATACCAGGAAATTAGTAGCCAGACCCTAATCATGAAGTAATTTATTCGAATTCTAGTGGTTCAAAAGGGTGAGACAGTTCGTGGAAGTTATGATTTTGATCTCGATGAGTTCAGGTTCTACTTCAGCCTTGTGATCCACGCTTGCATATTATGTCCTGCATTGTTCTAATCTCTAAATAATTGGAGAATTTCGTCCTGAAGCTATTCGAACTATGATCAATTCGGGTTGATATTCAAAAATTATGAAAACTGTTTGAAGTTACCGAACTTAAGAGTTGACTAAATTCTGGAATGAATAAATTATTCACGACGTCTAATTTAATGATACATTTTACTTTTGAATATTTTTCAATTCAGTGATAACAGCATTCGAAGCGATTTTATATGATACTTTTTTCGCTTATCCAACGCTAGAATTAATCTAGAACTCCAAAGCTCCGTCAGCAACACAATTATGATCTTTTAAAATCCTTAATTCGGTGAGAAGGTCTCCCGAAGTCTGACCTAGCCCAATCTCTTTGGAAAGGAAATATAATTGAATATTTTATTTATCCCTCCTTACCTTCAGGTTTAATAAAGGCTGAGGATAATTGAATTGCCAAGTTTTTAAATGTCGCCCACAACTTTGCCTCTTCAAGAGATTGGAAGGGGCACAAATCTCAAACTAAATTATGTCCTCACGGTAATGGGTGTGGATTCGTTTTTCTGAGGGGTAAAGTATATAAAACCGTTGAAAAGAAACAAAATCAATATTCAGCCACCATTTTCATATCCCAAACGACATCGTACTATGCACGATTCTCATGCATAAACCTAACGACGGTCAGTGTGTTAGTGTTCATCAGGTCCCTTCTGTACCACGAAGCAATATATGTACGTTCACACACATACACATATGTGAACAAATTTCTCGCATGTTCGCAGACTGAACTCTTGACCTCTCTCGCACCCATATAGTGTGCAATAAAAAGCAGGCACACATACACAAACTTCGTTAAGACACGACATACTATTTAGCAAGGGAGCGGGTATAAGGGAGGGGGGGGGGGAAGGCTAATAAGCCATGATGAACGTCTTAATTAAAGTAATGATGTGAAAGGCTATCTGCGTAAGCGGGGCACTAAAGAACTGCCCCCGAATCATATTACAAAGTGTGTGGTCTTAAGTGTTTGCTTTCCTCTTCCTTCGTTTACAGATTGGACAAGTGGACTCTCTGGGTTGCAGTTTGGGCTGCCTTCTCTTGTCCGACATTCATGCCAACCGACCAGGTGAATGCCCTTTGCCGCTTGCAGAGTCCGTATTGCCTGATGTTCAGGCAGATCTGTCCGCTCCCGGTCTAATCCTTCCTCGTCCACCACTGTGTGATAAGTTATGCACTACTGATTCAAGCTGTCCCCATTCTTTGCATAAATGTTGCTCGTTCGGGTGCAATAGAAGGTGTACAATGGTAAGTTAGCTTCAGTTTTGATCTGTTAGTTAAAGGCAGGAGCTAATCACCTTCGACTGAATAATTTAGCCCATCTTCTCGGATGACGTCCCACCACTTCCCTCCAGATTAGCTCTTCACCCAGTTCCTAACAAACCCGACAACATTCAGCTCTCATGGAGTGCAACCCATTCCAACTTTAGTCATCTTCAAGATCCCGTTGTCTATATTCTTCAGCTGAGATACTGTAAATGCAAACGGTTTAGTGAGAAACTAGCCACCCCTTGGCAAACTATTATAATGGTAATGCTTCACACACTTTTTCGAAACCTATGAGAGATAAGAATAGCTATTCGAATCACATTTTTTCTCCTCATAGGCGGTTGATACAACACCAACTGTAGATTTTCCTGACCCCGAACTTAAATATCAGTTTCGAGTAGCTTCTGTAAGCACAAAAGGGAGTAGAGGATTTGGGACTCCATCAAAACCCTATCAACCATCTATCCAAAGTCCTTTGGTGTCTCAACATTCGCCATCTCTTCCGACACCTAGACCTCAACCACCAAGAAATGTTACTGCTACAAAGTGGCGAATACAGCCGAATGAGGAGGTTAGTGTGAGACTTAGTTGGACTCCTCCAGAATCGAATGACCTCAAACTTATACATTACTCTATTTCTTGGGCGTTGGATAATGGCTATCCGGCGACTTCCAGCAACCTACCTCTGAAAAATTCAAATGTTCCTTTCGTTCAGACTGTTCAAACGGTATTTAATAAAGTTTTAAACAACTTACAACTCAACTCTGTTTGACGCTTTAATGCGAATTTCGTTATAGGAAGAAAATGAAATCACAATTAATGGACTTCGACCTGATTCCTCATACAAAGTCCAAGTTATTGCAATTTACTTCCACGAGGGAGAGAATTTGGAGTCCCTTCCGCATAACTTCTTCATCTCTACACAATCTCTGGTTCCTACCCCACGTCAGCACAATATTGGATTTGAGAAACCTAGACGTGAGTCATTATGCCACTTTAAGAAAAATATAAATATGGTAAAACTTGATAAGACCTCATTCATCTTACCGAAGCAAACCCAGGTGAGTGAGTCACCTTATCTGATTTTCCTTACTGTTATAGCCACTCCATTAAACTAGTGCGCCACAGCATAGATGGCATCTTCTCACGAAACGCTCAATTTATTTCGAATTCCATTTTCAGAGCTACCGTTATCAAGTTTCAATGATGACAATCATGACAGTGCAGATTGCAGGTGCAGTGGACTGGAGAAGAATGACGAGAGATTGGAGATCAAGCCCCCAGAGATCTATGATGCTGATCTCACTGCTCTAGTCCAACTCAAATCATTTTCTCGTATGTCTCTTTTGCGATACAGAAATAACGACTCTATCAGTAATATGGTTTTGCTAGACAAATTTCTATTGCTTATTTGGCAGACATGGATAGTCAAAGCTACAACATCAAGTGGTTTCCCCAAGTCTGTATTGACTCGGTCGAAAATGCCCCAACGTTGACTCAACTTGGAATCACAAAAGTGCGATCTGGAGTGCCATTTGAAGAGAGCGAAGTTCTAAAAGCTACTGTTAGGGTGAGTCTGGTAGAAATGCCTCAAAATTATAATCTTGAATAGTATATCATTACATCTTCGTTCAAGAGCTAGTAGGAGCTCTCTCCCAAACTTGGCGTAGATGCGGCCTTTAAACTGAAATGATTAGGGTATAAGATGTATTATAATTGTACCTAAAATTTGATCTTGAATTCGGGGACATTCATTAAGGAGATGGAAAACAGACGCCTACTCCGAAGACGCTTTCGTCAGATAATGAGTTGATAACACGCTGAGATAAGTGGGAACAATTACCAAGTCGGAAGTAGCGATATGGTTAATAATCGGTGCACTTTGATTGTAGTTAATGGGTAAGAGCATCAGTTATTCCAGTTAAAAGATAGAGGTGGTGAAATATGTGAGTTTATTGCATGGGGGAGGGTTGAACTACCTTCCAAATCAAGTAATATGAACGCATCTCTTAATATGTTTGCGAAGATTTACAGTTTTTAGACTTTGAAGTTAAGCGAAGGAGCAATTAAGACAATCACTTACAATTTCCGCTTTTACACTGATTAATTTTGGCATTTTCTGTGTGAGAGCATGTTACCGCGAGACACTGAGGTCACATTTAGAATGAAAGGGGGTGTTCGCTGGTGGAGGGGGGGGGGGGTTCCATGTCAAGCGGCATACAGGTGCGGAAGGACTACATCTCCCATCCACCCCTTTCCACTTTCTCTGCCTTCCTCTATCATGGTTGCGTGTCCATTAACTCGACCCAACGCACACGCGAATTGGCAAGTGAGTTGATTAAGATTTAATTAAAAGAGACTGACCGCACTAGACTACTCTAGAAGTGGCCACACGTTTCACTCGTTGCTCCTTTTCATAATATCAAAGAAATGCTGCAGAAATTGTGTTCAGTGATATTGATTTGATAATGATGATTAAGGAATAAGTTGGTCGTGTCCATTATAAGGATTCAATTTTGTCAACATTTTAGTATTTACATTTTCAACGAGGGTATTTAAGCGTCTTCTGAACATTAGATTAAGTGCAATCGTAGTGGTTTACCTAACGTTCTTTCAACAAATCGGCTCTCTAGAGTACAAGCAAACGCGAGTATTCTTCACGGCGTGTTCCATTAAACCCCTCCAAAAAATATATGGCAATTTAAGGAATGAAGGTCGACTTGGCGTAGAATCCCACCCTTATTCCATTTAAGCCACCTGCTGGCCTCTAAGAGCTTTTCCAACTCTTCGCAAGAAAAGAGAGCTATGCTTATGAAAGAGGTGCAGAAAAGGAGCTAATTGAATGGACAAAAAAAATTGAAAACACAGCCCCTCAACATTTTTCTTCTTCGTGATGTTTAACATGATTCACTAGCTACTAACTTCTGAGTATGCTTGGGGGGAGGGGGATTTCTTGCGGCCTTGCCCTAATTTCTATTAGTTCTCTTAGTCGTTTTACGCGTTCAATTATCTTGGGGAGTACCCGAATCGAAATAGCTTGAAAATAAACAATTTACTATGAAAGATGTGAGAAAAAGTGCGCACTTCCTTAATTGGTAGTTCCTTATATTGTCTCTTCTTGCAGAATCGGATATTCCGATTGACGAAGTTGAAATTCAACTGTGTCTACATGGTGTGGTTAACACCGGAGGATACATCTCAAAGGTATCCACCAATGTCTAGACGAAGGCAATCTCAACCCCTTCTATCTCCAATTAATGGACCGTTATCTAACTCCGCTGATGTGGTGGCTGGGTGCTTCTGTACTCGGTCATGCCGAGAAACAAAAACGGCGTTGGGAACGAAATCAATTGAATGTCCCGCGGCTGGTGAGTTCTTAAATCGAATTTTTCTTAGATTCGAGAATAGAACATTCCACGCTTGGGCTCGATTTTGAAATAGCTTGTCAATTCTCCGCATATTACTAAACCATATTTCAGCCGCGTGGCTGTTCCAGTTTGGCTTATCAAATCTTAGATGACATGGAATTTGCAGGCTTACACTTTATTTTCACTCCATTTGACAAAATTTTGCGACTTATGATCTTCTTAACCACTCAAAGCGTCTTTCGCATTCGCCAACTTAGAATGAAATGAGTGGTTTTAGCTCTGTATAACTATGTTCATTTTTCCAAACATGGCGAAATAATTGAATTTCAAGGTTAACTCATAACTGCGTTAACTAAAAATGCCCGTTTTTTGTTAAGTGAACTGATGAAAAATGTAATTTAAATCCACTAACATTCCACAAATAGTATATGGTTACAGGAAGGATAAACATATGCTAATACCATAAAACGACCACTTCGTGAAATTGGTGTAAGGTGTATAGAAAAAAGAGCTGGGGTCTAACCACATGCATTGTTCAAATAAAAAAAAGTGGTTCCGTAAACAAGGACGTTAGCAAACAAAGAAATTTTCAAACACACTTTGTCATTCCTGAATAATGGGGTGGATGTTCCAACGCATTCTGCAAATAAAATGTATATTTGCATTTCTAACAAGGTAAAGTTAATACCATGGAAAGCGAACGAAAGCATTTCGACAAGAGGAGTAAAATTATCTCAAGATCCAGTGAGAATAGGGTTTCATGAATTTTTCATGAATTCCGACACTTTTTTATTGTATCTCAGGCAGAAAGTGGGTTGGAAAAAGTGACTTAAGCATTGTTTCTTTTTTAATTTTTTTTGTATTTTCACTGAAAAAGTGAGTTGAAACTGGTTGAATTAGAATACAAAAAAAACAGCCCACGAACTGATGGTTTTACTAACTTTCTCAAAGTATTTGATAAGTACCTTGGGAAATGGTTTAATTTCAGCTGGACCTAAATGCCACTTTTAATCATGAAATCGTGGTGAGAGGGTTAAGAGCAATTGTAGTATCTACAAAGCGTGATAAAAGAGAAGGCGGAACGAAACATACCAATTATCGAGGTTATTATGGGTGAATATAATGGAGAGCTGAGATGCTAAAAGAACAAGACTTTTGAATCTAGAAATTGATACTTTATGATCCAGCATATTTATCTGAAATCGATTTCAATTCACCTCAGAGGTTCTGCATGGCCATAATTCTCAATTTCGAGATGAGAAAAGTTACCGACTTATGTAAATTTTTTTAAAAATTTCCTGAGCGGTGTCATCTCAACACTCGCAGTTGAAAATGATGAATGCATTTGAGGGAATTAGCAATTATTCCCCAGTGGTCACATAATTCAATATATTCTGCTTCATTTCGTTTTGTTATACTTTTCCAACTCAAGCCCCCCCCCCTCCCACTCCTCTATCTAATTGGAAATTTGTCAAATTTCCGGAGTGTTGTTATTCCTCCTTCCGACAATCTTTTCCTCTCACTTTCTGCGTCACCTTCTCGTTGCCACTTGATAGACAGTGGAATTTCTTCTGCGTCAGAACCAGTGACAATGGGGTTTTTCTTGAGATTACGTGGTTTCGATTTATCTAATAAATAGAAGTATTATCCTGATTCATTGATAAATATGGGCAATTGTTTCAAGGGCATTAGGTTACAGAGGTCAAGAAATCAATGCCTATCAGTCAGGTGTTAGGAACACTTAATCTTTTAGCCTAACCGAGATTTTGATTCCCTTGAATTTCTTTCTTCTAGAACCGGAACCTCCTCAACCCCCACGCGGTATTCAGGTTGAGCTGGTGAACTATGATCGTCTCGACTACCAAGTTTCCTGGCATCCTCCAGTCCCAACAAAATCTCCAATTCTTCCCTTCCCCAGTGGTGTGAGCCATCCCAATGTCATTTCGGTTCAACCTTCTCCAACAACATTCACACGATACCGTGTTCTCTGGGCTCCTCGAAAAGAGGAACCTGTGGATGCCTCCATGTACAATGATGAGGCAGGCTTCAAACCCATTCCTGATCTGCAACACTCAGATGTCCGAGTGTTGGACAAGGTGAGATATTTTTCTATAGCTTCTGCAAGATTGCGCTTTTCCGCACTGCTGCTTTGCTGGGAAGTCGTGTTTTTTGTCACTGTGATCTATTGTTAATAATCACTCGGTTAGATTCAAAGAGCGGGAGCGATAAGAGGGAAAGCAGCTACTCCAAGACACTTTATCATCCCACTGAAGACAGCGTAGTTTTGAATAAAATTTCTGTGACCCGAGAAATTCTCAAAGTGTCAGGAGCACCGACCATACACATAGTGACAATAGTTATACAAAAAATGACTATGCAATTTTGTCTTTAGGCTCCATATTAACTGGCCTTAATCAATGCCGCTGACCACTCTACTCATCAGGTGCTCACTGATGGTCACTATACCCGTGGCAACTAGTGAGGCGGATGGACAAGTTAAGCATTACTCCAACACATAGGCCTTATTTAATAAGATCATGAATAATTTATTTATTTATATCAAATGGCAGGCGTTTCGATAGTTATCATAAGTCCTTTAGTTGACTTCAGAATTCACAGAGGGGAAGGACCATCAAATTGAAGAAAGTCGAGAGGGGGGGGGGAACAGAATAGTGTTCCAAAGATGTAAGTGACAAACACAAAGGTAGAACAAAGGTGAGGTGAGTACTGTGGAAATGGTCGAATATAGCATAGAGTGAGGTGATGGTAGTTTTAAGTGAGAAGTCAGCTGCCAGTTAATAGACTTTTTTGGAAGTGAGAAGTCAACTGCCAGTTAATAGACCTTTTTGCGTTGAAGTCAGAAGTCAACTGCCGGTTAATAGAATTTTTTTGCCGATAGTGAGAAGTCAACTGCCGGTTTATAGACTTTTTTGCCGCTTTGAAGTCAGAAGTCAACTGCCGAATAATAGACTTTTTTATTTGGTAGTTTGAAGTGAGAAGTCAACTGCCAGTTAATAGACCTTTTTGCGTTGAAGTCAGAAGTCAACTGCCGGTTAATAGAATTTTTTTGCCGATAGTGAGAAGTCAACTGCCGGTTTATAGACTTTTTTGCCGCTTTGAAGTCAGAAGTCAACTGCCGAATAATAGACTTTTTTATTGAGTCAGAAGTCAACTGCCAGTTAATAGACTTTTTTTGCCGTATGGCCGTATGATTATACGTTGCCCAGGGTGCACCACGTGGAGGTAAGTCTATTGAAAAACGAATGCCGAGTGATAGAATTTTTGCCGTAAGAAAGTACGTTGCCCAGGGTGCACCACGTGGAGGTAAGTCTATCGTAGTTAACTGCCAGTTAATAGACTTTTTGCCGTATGAATATAACGAAAGCCGAGTGATAGACTTTTTTGCGCATGAGTATACGTTGCCCAGGGTGCACCACGTGGAGGTAAGTCTATCGCACACTCCTGAATAATAAATTTAGAAATTCTAGCAGTTACCATCTCAGAATAATGCAGATGTGTTAGCGACTTGTATTAACTGAAATTTCTGCCACTTCAAGAATCAAACCACATTGATTTTGCCCCGATTGCGACCTCGAACGGTCTACATCCTCCAAATTCAGACCCTGGGATCAACGAATTTTGGACGGGAACGAGAAAGCCCTCCTGCGGTGCACTATTTCAACACTCATGACGATGGTTTCCATATCAACGTGCGGCCGAATGGTTAGTTTGAAACGCTTTACTAAATCCTATCTTAAAGAATGCTTAAAACATTGGTTCTTCCCCTATTACAAAACAATATTTCATCTTTTCTCAAAGCTACAAACAAGAAATATTTTTACCAGTTATAGAAAAAGTTTTATTTTGCGAGAATTTAATTGATTCTAACCGAACACACCATTGAATAAGTATCTAAATAATCGTGACAACGAAAATTTTTTATAAAGCTTCTAATTGTCTCAACAAATACTTTGGCATTTAGCGAGTAGAAATGAATGGTGCATTTCTCGTGCCTGATTGACTTTTGTGTTTCGTCGCTTCCGTATTCAATCATGGTGTACTTTTTACTTTCAATAACCGCACATTTTATTGAATAGAGATAAACAATGTGTTACCTGTTTACTATGACTTGCATTAAATGGTTTCCACAGTTACTTGTCTCCAAGCACGAGTGTGATTTTTTCAGTTCCCATAAAAATGACATGCACTTTGTTTACTTGTAGGAATCTATTCGGAATTGAAGCTTGATGGAAATGCGTCAGGTAAATTCGTGATGTCCCTTCCACTACTATTCCTATTGAGTTTTCTGCTCTTTGCCCATCATCTGGCTTTCTTATCACCCTGATGAAGACACTTTCCACATTTTTATACAAAGAATAGGAGCAATTCCTGCCTGTACATAGTCCCACGTCTTCATTCATCTTCTCTCTCTCTCCCCCCTCTATACCGTACTCTGCTCACAAAATCATTTTAAGAATAAAGTTATTTTCTTCGCTGATGCGTCTTTCAACTGTGATCTCAAACTCACACTTGACCTACTCCTTACCACGGCCACCACCCTCCCCCACCACGTATTCATCTCATTTCCAACTTGTCTGCGATGATACTTCCAACCCCTCCCCCCCCCACCTCACTCTGAAATGAAGTCCATCTATAAATCATTTATTGAAATCTATAATGTATGAAACCAACTGAAACCTCCAATAAACGCATTTCTATCAATTTGATTGGTTATTTTGTGATTATGCAGCTGACTTTAAAGCAATCAAAGGTGACCTTTAAGGTAGCCACTTAGGAGGATTAAATGAAGCGACTATAATCAATACTGAGAACGCATGTATATATTGCCGATGTAACTTCTCCTACAACACCTCAGGCTACCATGGTTACCGGGTTTACCAGGTACTTATTCGGATGGGTGGGTATTTGGGGTTAAAAGTTAAAATGTATTCTTACAGCTTTTCGTCTCAATTTGGGACTAAAGCTTGTCTCCCCCCGTGAGTGCTTATCCAGGTGGACGGTAATGTGGCTCCAAAAACCGTTTAACCGCCCTGGGCAGATTTTCGGAAAACCCCGATGTAAGTACAAGGTGACGCCAATAATTTATTTATATCAAATGGCAGGCGTTTTGATGGTTATCATTAGCCCTTTAGTTGACTTCAGGCTTCACTGAGGGGAAGGAACAACAAAGTGAAAAAAAGTCGAGGGGAGGGGAATTGAGGAGTGTTTCAAAGACGAAGGTTGAAAATTTAGAAAAAAATGTGATGTAGTACTGTGGCAGTGGTTGAATATGACATACAGTGGGGTGATGGTAGTTTGAAGTTAGAAGTCAACTGCCGGTTGATTGACTTTTTTGCCGTATGAGTATACGTTGCCCAGGGTGCACCACGAGGAGGTAAGTCTATCGCACACCCCATGACGCCAATAATAATTTCACTC